GCATCTGGAGAGACCGGAACCATGGCTTGGACCCTACTGATGTCCAAGATGACATCTCTCGAAATATGACCTGACCTGATGACGACTGAGACTCACCCAGGGGACCCTGAGGACCTGAGGACCTGAGAGAAAAAACTGGGGAGTGATGTTTATATTTTTGAAATCATACATTGATGAGTGCTAAATGAGAGAGATACTCATGATTCTTTCTTTTGTTTTTGTCCCTAGCTTCTGGACATCTGATGATCTATTGGACACAGCCATTTGCAGAACAAGAACCAGCCAATGAAAAACGTCTATTGCCGATGCTCTTGCTACAACCACAACTGTGACAAATGCAATATACATGTTAAGTATTCAGACATCTGACAGACAAAAACTTTGACTTTTTAGTCTGGGAGACTGAGCAACTGTTAAAATGTTTTAAAATGAGTATTGTAGCGTTTTAGTAGATGTTAAATAGTAGTAAAAGAGTAGAATTTGATTTCCTTTGTTGTTCATAAACACATTTCCACGTAAGAGTTCAAATAGTAGCATACAATGTTATCCTTCTGATAGAGCAGATAAAATATTAGAATCAGAGTTATGTTACAGCCATTAAAAGTGACAGAAGTCACAAACTAGAAATATGCCTTTGCTCAAGCTGCAACCAAACTTTGGAGTCACAATAGTGTAAAAATAGATAAATGCATCAACCATAGATGCTTTCAAAAATAGAGATTATTTGTAGCCAGTGCTAATATCAAATGGTAAAGGGACCATTTCACAAGCATTTACTTCAGAAGTAGATAAAGTTAATTACAGTTTTATGTGCAGTTTTATTAGATACTTGTCAAATTCACTTGTGTTCAAACATCTGTGAATGTTGACAATGCAAAAAGAGTGTAGCCTAGATTAATGCCTAGACTAATGTAGCTTAGATCAATGAGATAGATTACAACCAACAGAGATTCAAAAGCATTTAAAAGCATTTTGATGCATTTGGGTGTAGCCCAAAAACAAAATAGTAGATATTTGGATATCTTTGAGAAGTTTAAAAAGCTGGGTTAGCCAGCACAGATTAGAGAATCAAACACCATTGTAGAATAACTGACCCCAACCCCAAACCTAGGATAATACTAATTTGATTAATGACATTAATGTACATTCATCCCAAACTGCCTGAGCAGAGGAAGTGACAGCACTTCCTGGTTCAACAAATGTATTTGGAAAACTGACCGCCATAATAATGTTCATATTAACCATTTGCCTCACTGTGTTCAGTTTTATTCCTGAGAATGTAGAATAGACAGAGCAAAATCCCACTGATAAAAAGCCACTGATAATGAGAGTATAATACCACCACAGAGAGATTTAAGAGATTAAAATGTATGTTTAAGAATATGGCTCAATAAAAGCAAATATACAAACATATTTGTGAATAGATTAGAATAGTTTTAAACTATAGTGAATCATGAAAGTAAAGTATACAGTGTAAGATTGAAAAGTGAAAATAATACAGTGAAATAAGTGAAGTGTAAACAATCAGCATTAGAATAAAAGTATAGAGTAATAAAATGAAATTAGCTTCAAATTTGAGACTCAGCTCGTTTTTGTCTGTGTTTTGACTGAATCTGCTGAGTTCTTGTGTGTCCAATAGTGTTTGTTTGTTTTTATTTTTGATTTATTTATTGTTTGTTTATTTACTTTATTTTTGTTTTGTTTTTTACCAGGATAGAGGATAAAATCCACTGATATTGATTTGATGAGTTCAATGCATACATTTTCTTTGTTTTTTAATACTTTTTTAAAGTTTTTTTTTGGAATTTTTTTCTCTTTTTCCACTTTATTGATTGATCAAATTGAGTGATCACATGTGATTATGTGATCAAAGGGGAGGGTGTTAGTATTAGATAGCAATATGGCCTACGTGCAGGACTCTACAAGGACTCTGATTATTATGACTATGATGTGACTGTCTCTTTGTGACACGTATGTCTTTCGATGTGTGACGTGACAATGACTATATAAACTGTGTACTGCCTTTATTCTGTCTGAGAGAAAGAAACAAAGTAAACCAGTGGAACTTGAGAGAAACTTAAATAAACTTCCAGAGTTTGGAACACCACGATCCGTCTCTGTCTGATTCATCCCTGACAATCCCTTCATTAGCGGACGCTGCTGCAACATATGAGCGCATCCACAGCACCATGACCCAGATCCAAACCCGCAGCCCCCGTACTCTGATACTGATCAGCGGGGACTTTAATCACGCCTCCCTCTCCCCCACTCTCCCAACATTAAGGCAGTTCGTCACGTGCCCCATGTGGGAGAATAAGACTCTGACCCTTCTGTATGCTAATTTCCGAGACGCAAACGCCTCCTCCCCCCTCCCCCCGCTTGGAAGCTCAGACCACTCGCTAGTTTGCCTATCTCCGGAATACACACCCATGGTGAGATGACATACAGTGCAGAAGAAGTATGTTAGAGTGTGGAGTGAAGAGGCAGAGGAGAGACTGAGACATGATCTGCAGCTCTCATGGTGATGACATTGAGAGCCTGACACACTGTATAACAGACTGTATCCTCTTCTGTGTGGAAAACACTGTACCGACAAGGAATGTATGGTGTTTTTCCAACAACCACCCATGGGTGACCCCTGAGCTTAAAGCCCTCCTGAAACTCAAGAAAAGGGCTTTCATCTCGAGGGACAAAGAGGAGCAGAAGAGGATGCAGCACGAGCTCCAGTGGAGGATCAGGAGGGCTAAGAAAGACTGCGGGAAAAAGCTGGAGCAGAAGCTGGCACAGGGAAACGCCGGGGACGTGTGGGCGTGTGTGTCTGAATCGAGAACATCTCTCGATTCGGACAGAGTGTCAGAGGGACAGTGGATGGAGACCAGCGCTGGGCGGATGAATTTAACCAATATTTCAACCGGTTTGATTCCCCCCCCTCTCCATATGTCCCCCTTCCCGCCCCCACCTCTTCACACGTCTCCAGCCCAGTGGACACCCTGTCCCCCCCCCCCCACCATCACACCGGACCAGGTGAGGATTGAGGTCAAGTGACTGAAGCAGAGGAAATCCGCAGGACCGGACGGGATCAGTCCAAGGCTGCACAGACCAGCTCTCTGAGGTCCTTAGCCACATCTACAACCTGAGCCTCAGCCTCGAGAAGGTCCCCGTCCTCTGGAAGACCTCCTGTGTGATCCCAGTTCCTAAAGTAGCGCACGCCAAGGAATCGGCTCACAACAGACCAGTCACACTTACCTGTCACCTGATGAAGACCATGGAGCGGCTCATCCTCACCCATCTCTGCTGCGTGGTCAGCCCCACCCTGAACCTGCTGCACTTCGCCTATAGGCCCAACATCGGAGTAGAGGATGCCGTCATCTGCTTATTGCAGCGGACGCTCTCCCACCTGGAGCCCTCCGGGAGCGCTGTGAGGGTCATGTTTTTTTACTTCTCCGCTGCTCTCAACATCATCAGACCGGCACTGCTACGGGGGAGGACGCGGGAGTGGACAGTAACCTCACTGCATGGACCATCGACTGCCTCTCGGACCGACCACAGTACGTGCGGCTGCGTGGCTGTGAGTCTGAGGGGGTGGTCTGCAGTACTGGGACCCCTCAGGGCACTGTCCTCTCAGCGTTTCTCTTCACCATTTACACTTCGGAAATCACATACAACACACAGCTGTCACCTGCAGAAGTTCTTTGACAACTTTGCCATTGTGGGCTGTGTGTTTGAGGGGAACGAACTGGAATATTGGTCAGTTATCACAGTCTTTGTCGACTGGTGTGAGCCACCACTTGTGCTTGAACACCAGTAAGACCAAGGAGATGGTAATCAACTTCAGGAGAAAACCACTTTCCCACACGCTGCTGAACATCCAGGGGAATGACATTGAGCTGGTGGACAGCTTCAAGTACCTGGGTGTTCACATTAACGATAAACTGGACTGGTCCCATAACACCAACGCCATGTACAAGAAGGACCAAAGTCGCCTCCAACTTCTGAGGAGGCTGAGGTCCTTCGGAGTGAGCAGGCCTCTGCTCAGGACCTTCTATGACTCTGTGGTGGCGTCTGCCATACACTACGCTGCCGTGTGCTGGGCCCCGGGCAGCACAGAGCGGGACAGGAGTAGAGAGAACATGCTTGTCAGGCGGGCCAGCTCAACTCTGGGCTGCCCCCCTGGACTCTGTGGAGGAGGTGAAGGACAGGAGGGTGCTAGTTAAAGTCACCTCCATCATGGACAACACCTCCCACCCACTGCACAGGACTGTAGAGGAGCTGAGGAGCTCCTTCAGTGGAAGACTGAGACACCCTCAGTGTAAGAAGGAGCGCTACCGCAGGGCCTTTATCCCCACCGCTGTCAGACTGTACAACAAGTCACTTTAAGTTACTTGCACTAGGACAAAAAAAACCTTTTTTATTGTACTTATTATATCCTGCATTTAACATGTTTGCACACTTCGTTCTTTGCACAAATCTTGAGTGATTCTATCTATGCCAGATGTGACATGTAAATTTCTTCTGTGTGAGATCAATAAAGTCCATCTTATCTTATCTTATAAAGTCACCTTACTGCTCTTTATTAAGTCACTTTACTGCCCATCATAACGTAAGTAAGTAAGTAATCTTTATTTATATACCGCCTTTCACAGACCAGAGTCACAAAGCAGTTTACAATTGTTATTTTTTTTGGGCATTTGTCCTCTCACTCCACACAGAGATGGGAGCGGGGTCCCAACGTCACTTTACTGCTGTTATCTTATTGCACCGCTTTTGTGCACCATGTGCACTTGTATATTGTACATAGTAATTGTAATTGTAATCTTAAATTGTATACCTTAGAAGTGTATGCTGATTTTTATAATGCCTTACTCTATTCTCTATTCTTCACCTCTCTTTTCTGACTGTTGCACCGAGCCAAAGCAATTTCCTAGTCTGTTACTTCCTGTCTGTGGCAGTAAAAATGATTCTGATTCTGATTCCGGTATGTGCAGGAGCTGAAGGGACAGATGTCTCAGCTGCACCCCCTGCTGGCCGTGGTGGATCAGTACCGTGTGGACGTGCAAAGCCTGGGGGCCCTACGCTGGGAGCTGCAGAACCTTTCCCTGCTCCTCACCTCCATCCAGGAGGAAGTGGGAGCTTACGACTATGAGGAGCTCCAGCAGAGGGTACTGCTGCTGGAGAGCCGGCTGCATGGCTGCATGAACAAGCTGGGTCAGTCTTTGAGCTCACCACTGTTCTATCTGGGTAGTGCTAGCTTTAGCCTGTCCTCTGAGCTCACTACTGCTCACTATTCCTTGTTTGGTCAGTCATACAGGTAGGAGAAAAAAAAAATCCTGTTCAATGCACTGCATAAGGGGTTTTATAGGCTTCAATGAGCTATGATGTATAAATGGCCCTAGTCCTCATCTCCCTCTGAGCTTGCCCCAGCAGTCTGACCTGCTCAGGGTTTACGCTGGACTGAGGACAGATACAGAAGCTCCTGAAGCTTCAAACTTTAGTAAAAACAGCTGTCCTGGTTTTTTATGCTGTTTGACTAATTTAACCATGAATCCTACAGGATACACATGTGCTCAAGGAATGTCGTCCGTGGGGTCCTTTAGGGCCTGAAAGATCAAACAATATACTATAAAAGGGCACACACCACTTGAAAGAGAAAGCTCAAGAATTCACCACTCACCTGTTGCCAAGACTGCGATTATTCTTTCAATAAAAGATGAGCTTCAGCCTGTTACTTGATAAAGGCCGAAATCAATAAACACCCACAAACACTCCCGGGTCACAGGGAAAGTTAATACATTATTCCATTGTCCTATGCTCCTTGCAGTGTTGGACCAGCTGTGGGCAGTTACTGTACTGTTTAGGCTTCAGCCAAGGCCATGCCTTCTGCTCTGCTGTTACCAAGCCCCGAGCCTGTGCTTATTGATTTGATGTCTGCCCATCAAATAAATGAGAACAGGCCATTGATTTGAGACGGGTATAAATCATTGGTTCACATGCGCATTCACCAAACCCCTCTTTAGTGAAAAATTTAATAATTTATCTAAAATAAATTTCAAATGATTCTCATATGAAGCCCCGTACCACACTAAGGCTTTAATTCTCAAATGGTTTCAAATGTGTCGAATGTGCCACTGATCTAGCTCAGACTTGATTCATTGTTCCAAATTTGGTTTCAAATTCATACCGTTTCATTGTCTCACATAACTATAATTAGAGAACCATCCTAATGCATAAAAATAACATAGCTATATTGTTGTTGTTAATCTATTTTAAAATAATCTTTAAATTGAAAACAAGTTTGTTTACATCTAAAAACAATTTACTCGGCACGGTGGCTGAGTGGATAGCACTCTCGCCTCTCAGCAAGAAGGTCCTGGGTTCGAATCCCGGTCGGACCAGGGCCTTTCTGAGTGGAGTTTGCATGTTCTCCCCGTGTCTGCGTAGGTTTCCTCCGGGTACTCCGGTTTCCCCTACCACTAAAAATATGTCCAATAGTTCTAGCATGCGCCTCCTGTACTGGCGACCGCGCTCCCATCTCTGTGTGGAGTGAGAGACAAATGCCCAAAAAATTAACAATTGTAAACCGCTTTGAGACTCAGATCTGCAGTGAAAAGGCGGTATATAAATAAATACTTACTTACTTACTTACTTACTTACTTACAGAAACAAAGGGACTACACTTTATGCAGAGATCAAACGTTTTTATTCAAGTTTTTCAACAGTTGTCAGCTTCAGTTGGCTTCTTGTTTGGCACCAGCTTTAGAGAAAATAAAATCCTTTGATGAGACAACACCTTGAATATGATTAAAATGTTCCCAAACCACGGATCTCTGTTTTCCACTTGCAGATGACATCAAAGTCACCAAAATTACCAACACTGTACAACACAGAAATATTTATTTATATTGCAACATTCAACTGAAAGCCGTCAAACCACTGGCGATAGATTCCGGGACACGTTTGTCACATGAACGGCTTGTTTTGATACCGAACCTATAGGGTTCGATTGAACCCAGGTTAAGAACCTGATCTGCTATAGATTCTTGGGTAATTATCTGGCAACCTCTAGGTCATCCTCATCAACTTTTGAATGTTTGCATCTCTTAGACATGGTATCTCAATCTGTGGCTCATTCGGTGTTTTCTTTTAATTATTATTGTGGAAAATAGACATACAAAACAAGTGCAGACATAGAAAAAAATAAAATAAGACGAACATGAAGCGAACACAGACAACAGAGTGAATATTCACATAGGTGATCAGTTTCAGTGATATTTACAATGTAAGAGGAGGATCTATACAAAGAGGGGCGCTAGAGAGGACAGTGACACCAACAGGAGAGAGAAAAGAGCAATCATTGCACATACGTGTATGTGTGTGAGTGGGTGTGTGTTTGTGTGTGTGTGTGTGTGTGTGTGGGTGTGTGCGTGTATGGATGAGAGTGACTGTGGGTCAAGACATTTGTAGGTAGGCAGAAGTCATCTTGTCTTATGTACAGAAGAGAGGGAAAAGGAAAGAGAATGTGCATATATATATATATATATATATATATATATATATATATATATATATATATATATATATATACATATGTACACATATATACATATACATAGGCACATATATATTTATGTATATACAGTGGGGCAAAAAAGTATTTAGTCAGCCACCGTGCAAGTTCTCCCACTTAAAATAATGACAGAGGTCTGTAATTTTCTTCATAGGTACACTTCAACTGTGAGAGACAGAATGTGAAAAAAAAATCCAGGAATTTATATTGTAGGATTTTTAAAGATTTTATTTTGTGTGTTCTGTTGGTACAAAGCCGCCCTCTGCTACGCTTTGCCCTGTCGGTACTTATTTTCCGATAATGACCTGCGTCATATACGTTATCCCTTACTTATTATACCATATCACCATATGTTATATTATACCATACTGTAATATTATATCATATTTATACTATGAACGTCTCATTTGGTGTTGAGCGGCTATGATGGAGGTAAAATAACCTCAAAGACAATATGTTTCATTCATTAAACTTGATAAAACAACTCTAATATCACGAACACTGTACAACACTCACTACACAACACGCTTAAGAAATATTGATGCATCATTTATACTGCGCCTCTCCACTGAAAGCTACCGAGGAGGCGCGTTGAAACGCTCTGAACCAATGAGAAGCCGGGAATCTCATTGAGCCAATTAAACGCTTCGACACCCTGACACAGTTGACACAAAGCGAAGCAGTGGCTGCAGAGTATGTGTCACTGACACATTTGAAACTGTTTTGATAGCAAAGCAGTCTGCTTCAGGAAGAGTGACACAAGCTCCGGCGCATCGGGATTGTTTGCCCATCATTGGATAATTAGTGTTCTCCAACCTTTTTAGTGCCACGGACCAGTTTAACGTCAGACAATAATTTTGCAGACTGGCACACAAACGGCAAGCATAAAATAAGCAAAACACTTGCAGGGTGAGTTTTAATGTTCTGTTTTCTTACCGCGGTGGTGAGGCAGGACAATGGGCAGGACGCAAGTTTTTCTGTTGATAAACTGTTATTTCTCTAGGGTTTTAGTCTCAACTCTGTCCCGGCTGTGTATGATCATGTTTATGGTCCAAGAAGCACAGTCCCGGTCCTGGCTCCTCTGATCCATCCATCCATCCATTTTCTTCCCCTTAATCCATTTCTGGGTCTGGGGGGTGGCAGTCAGAGCTGCACCCAGTACACTTAGCACCAGCCCCTCACTGGTCCTCCTGCAGGTGGTGAGTCCACAGGAGCTGAGATCTTTCAGTGGGAGCTTCAGGCAAAGTGGGGTTAAGTGTCTTGCCCAAGGACACAACGACAGCAGTCATCAGTGGGAGTCGTGAAGTAGGTCTTATGGTGGGCTTGAACCCACGACCTTCAGGCCCAAAGGCCAATGCTCTACCAACTGAGCTACTGTCGCCCTTGGCTCCTCTGGTCATCGTGATTAAATCCATTCCTGTTCTTGTCTCTGCTCTTGTCTCTTCTTAGACCTCCCACAGGCACCTCATTCCTCCACGTGTTGTTATCTTAACACTGCGTTCGTAACAATTCATTAGCCTCTGTTCAGCCTCTTCAGAATGTGTGTGCGGTGGAGGGGCATTTGTTTTGTTTTCAGCGCTAACGTGTCATATGACCAAAATGTAAGAAGTGAATCCGGTCATTTGTCAATATAAAGGAAATAGTCTTTCCTTGGCAGCCTTGTTTAATTGTCCCACAGCCCGGTACCGGTCAGTAGACCGGGGATTAGGGACCACTGATCTAGACTATTGTTTCTCCTAATTGTCAATCATTCTGGTTATATGTGACGTAAGGCTGTCGTACGTCGAGTGTTTTTGGGAGATGGTTTCACTCGCCGTGTGCGCTGATAGTCCACCGCAAGAGCAGCGTGTGATGTGTGCCTCTCCTTGAATCCTTTTCTGAACAGGGTCTTTCTGTGTGGAGTTTGTCTGAGATAGTGGAAAAAAGTGCAAATCTTCTTGGAAAGTGAACTTGTGTGAGCGATGCCAACAGTGACTTCTAAACAGAGCATGCACGAGGAGAACTGGGTTTGTGCATTTCTCTCACACACGTTTTAGAAGGCGTTCCACTTGGAGAGGGGTGAATCCTCCTATATACCTTTAAGGCTCAGTTGTAGTGTTCTGAGGTGTAGTGTTGATCTTTTATGTTGGATGTATTATGAGAAAGGTTATAGATGCAGTGTATTTGTTTGTTCAGTGAATAGCACCTACAGCATAAGCTAACAAACTTTAAACATTCACAAATACTTACAAATTGATGTTGTTAAATGTAAGTAATAATCTGGAGTTTAGCAATATAGCTAGATTTGACCATAAGCTAGCTGGCAGCAATTGTTCTGATGGAGTTAGCTTTGCGCCGTAACAGGTGCAGACCATGGATACGTATAATGTATACACGTTGTGGTTCATATCTGGATTGTTATAAAGACAATATCAAAATGAACCACAGATTTCAAGTCAATAGGAGCAAAACTTCGTCCATTAGCACTTCATTATTGGGCTTTATACAGTCTGGTGTATAGGGCACATTTCCACTGTATACTGTATGTTCATATTCAAACGTCCAGTTTCACACAAAGGTCCAGAAAATGGCATGAAAGAAGACGCTTATAACCAATAACCATCACAAAACACTATCAATCATCATATTTTATTTTTAGAGCCCTTTACAAACACGAAGTGACCAAACACTAGTACTGCACAGACATGCCAGCATTAAGATTCCCGTCATTGCCATACCATTCCTTCACTTTGAGTGTTTTGTCCACCTACTGTATGAATATTTAAGTTCATAGCACTATGGCAACAGTCCATGTGGCTTGGAGTGGTAAAAATAGCTACCATCCTCTGAGGCTTCCGCTCATTACGACGTTCATCTTCATATTCATATCTCTGCATTTTTTTAGTTTATTTCACAAATCTGCTTCACTTTGATTTCCAAAACACGGGCGACCTACTTAAGGAATGGGAAAGTTGTGTAAAAGGCAGGGAGTGTGGTTCAGCAGCCCTAATGGGATTTGGGGGAGACGTAAAATCAGGAAGACAGCCCTGATTAATGGGCTCTTTATCTTGGTTAATTGCGTTTTGATCTTATTGAAGACTGTATAATATGAAGATGCAAAGCTGCAATAGAGATGATAGCGAGCAGTGCAACCAGAGTGCAGGACATATGCAGAGAGAGGATTTTTTGTCTTTTTGAATCATAAATATTATAGTCTGTATCGAGCTTGCAACATTGTTCATAATTGTTTTGGCTCCATCCATGCTGGTACAAATATCCTTTGTTCCAAATTGTCTTGTGTCAGTCTTGTGATGAAATTTCCTGAGTATAAGGTTGAGTCTTTTTCCATAATTGAAAACAACACCTCTGAATTTGTTTTTAGGAGGAAATTATGTTCTGTGAAACTGTCCGTCCGTTTTCTTCCGCTTCATCCGTTGCCGGGTTGCGGGGGCAGCAGTCTAAGCAGAGACGGCCAGACTTCCCTATCCACACACACTTCCTCCAGCTCGTCCGGGGGGACCCCAAGGCGTTCCCAGGCCAGCTGAGAGACATAGTCCCTCCAGCGTGTCCTGGGTCTTCCCCGGGGCCTCCTCCCAGTGGGACGTGCCCGAACACCTCCCCAGGGAGGCGTCCAGGAGGCATCCGGAACAGATGCCCGAGCCACCTCAACTGGTTCCTCTCGACGTGGAGTAGCAGCGGCTCTACTCCGAGCTCCTCCCGTGTGACTGAGCTCCTCACCCTATCTCTAAGGGAGCGCCCAGCCACTCTGCGGAGGAAGCTCATTTCGACCGCTTGTATCCGCGATCTCGTTCTTTCGGTCATTACCCAAAGCTCATGACCATAGGTGAGGGAGGGAACGAAGATTGACCGGTAAATTGAAAGCTTTGCCTTTCGGCTCAGCTCCCTCTTTACCACAACAGTCCGATACAGCGACTGCATCACTGCGCACGCTGCACCGATCCGCCTGTCAATCTCACGCTCCATTCTTCCCTCACTCGTGAACAAGACCCCGAGATACTTGAACTCCTCCACTTGAGGAAGGACCTCTCCACCCACCTGTAGAGGGCAAGGCACCTTTTTCCGGTCGAGCACCATGGCCTCGGATTTGGAGGTGCTGATTCTCATCCCAGCCGCTTCACACTCGGCTGGAAACCGCCCTAGTGCATGCTGCAGGTCCTGGTTCGTTGGAGCCAACAGGACAACATCGTCCGCAAACAGCAGAGATGAAATCCTGTGGTCCCCGAACCGGACCCCCTCCGGCCCCTGGCTGCACCTAGAAATTCTGTCCATGAATACAGTGAACAGAACCGGTGACAAAGGGCAGCCCTGGCGGAGGCCAACATGCACCTGGAACAGGTCTGACTTACTGCCGGCAATGCGAAAACAGCTCTGGCTCCGGTCATACAGGGACCGATTAGCCCTCAGCAGAGGACCCCGGACCCCGTACTCCCAGAGAACCCCCCAAAAAACCCCCCGGGGAACACGGTCGAACGCCTTCTCCAAATCCACAAAGCACATGTGGACAGGTTGGGCGAACTCCCATGAACCCTCGAGTATATAGCTGGATCAGTGTTCCGCGGCCGGGACGAAAACCACACTGCTCCTCCTGAACCTGAGATTCGACCATTGGCCATAGCCTCCTCTCCAGTACCTTGGAGTAAACCTTACCAGGGAGGCTGAGGAGTGTGATTCCACGATAATTGAGTGGCTGCATAGACTATGCAGCCACTATATGCTCTCCTACTGTTTATTCTTCTTCTTCTTCTTCCACTTCCGCCAGATTTTGGCACTTTTCAACTCTTCAACGCTTTCACCAAATTCAACAAATCATACATCGTTACGACCGGCTTCCCCGTCTCATTATTGCTATTACTTTTCACACTTCCACCTTTTGCACTTTTTCAGATATTAACAAAAGTTCAAGCACTTTGTCCCATAGACCCACAGCACCTTACAACACATTTAGCACCTTACAACACATTTAGCACTTTACAACACATTCAACACCTTACAACACATTTAGCACTTTACAACACATTCAACACCTTACAACACATTTAGCAATTCACAACAAATTCAACATCTTACAACACATTTAGCACTTTACAACAAATTCAACATCTTACCACACATTTAGCACTTTAGAACACATTCAACACCTTACAACAAATGTAGCACTTTACAACAAATTCAGCACCTTACAACAAATTCAACACCTTACAACACATTTAGCACTTTACAACAAATTCAACACCTTACAACACATTTAGCACTTCACAACAAATTCAACACCTTACAACAAATTTAGCACTTTACAAAACATTCAATACCTTACAACAAATGCAATACCTTACAACACATTTAGCACTTTACAACACATTCAACACCTTAAAACACATTTAGCACTTTACAACACATTCAATACCTTACAACAAATGCAACACCTTACAACACATTTAGCACTTTACAACACATTAAGCACTTTACAACACATTTAGCACTTTACAACACCTTACAACACATTCAGCACTTTACAACAAATTTAGCACTTTACAACACTTTCTGCCCCTTACAACACATTCTTCTTACTTCATCTTCACTTCTTCCTCTTCTTCCCCTTCTTCCTCTTCTCCCCCTTCTTCCCCTTCTTCCCCTTCTTCCTCTTCTCCCCCTTCTTCCCCTTCTTCCTCTTCTCCCCTTCTTTCTCTTCTTCCTCTTCTTCCCCTTCTTCCCCTTCTTCCTCTTCTTCCTCTTCTTCCTCTTCTTCCTCTTCTTCCCCTTCTTCCTCTTCTTCCTCTTCTTCCCCTTCTTCCTCTTCTTCCCCTTCTTCCTCTTCTTCCTCTTCTTCCCCTTCTTCCTCTTCTTCCCCTTCTTCCTATTCTTCCACTTCTTCCTCTTCTTCCCTTTTCTTTCTTCTTCCTTCTTCTTCCCCTTCCTTCTTCATCCCTAACCCTTCCAACATCTATGCAGCCACTCACAATGGCTTCAGCCATTGTACCATTTCTAGTTGGAACACACCCTCCGGTCCCCCTTCTTATAGAGAGGGACCACCAGCCCGGTCTGCCACTCCATCGGCACCGCCCCCGATCGCCACGCGATGTTGCAGAGACGTGTCAGCCAAGACAGTCCCACAACATCCAGAGACTTTAGATAGTCAGGACGGATCTCATCCACTCCCGGCGCCTTGCCACCAAGGAGGCTGCCAACCACCTTGGTGACCTCCGCCAGGGAGATGGAAGTATTCGCCCCAACATCTTCAGCCTCTGCCTCCGGGACGGAGCACGTGACGGGGGGGTTGAGGAGAACCTCGAAGTATTCCTTCCACCGCCCGACAATATCCCCAGTCGAGGTCAGCAGCTCTCCACCCGCACCGTACACGGTGTTGGCAAAGCACTGCTTCCCCCTCCTGAGGCGCCGGACGGTTTGCCAGAATCTCTTCGAAGCTTTCAATTAGAGCGTGGCATTTTAAGCGAACATCTATGCTGGACCATGACTGTCACTCCATGCAGGACACTGTCTGCTCTGGAGAGCTACTTCAGTGACAGACTAATCCACCCTCTGTCACAGCCCCTCCAGCACCTCTGGCCACTTCAGCCACTCCCTGAGAGGCTGGCCTTTCCCTCCCCCTCCCTTTTTGTTGCAGGATGGTAATAGGTGTGCTGGAGGAAATCCACAGCTGAGTTCACTTTCATCATCAGCAGGAAGCCTTGAAAAGCCACTGCAGTGAACTCTGCCATTCTCCGGCCACCTGCTATTCCTGCTCCGTCCTGCCCTGGTTTTGCTCCGTCCTGCCCTGGTTCTGCTCCGTCCTGCCCTGGTTCTGCTCCGTCTTGCTCTGTCCTTCCCTGGTTCTACTCCATCCTGTTCCATCCTGCCCTGGCTCCACTCCGTCCTGCCCTGGCTCTGCCCTATCTAGCTCCACCTGGTCCTGCCCTGATTCAATACATTTTCCTCTGTACTATTTCAGAGTCTGCTCGTGGGTTCTTTTGCCTTGTACCGTTAAGCCCTCACTGTGTGAAGCAGAGATTTTACAGGTCTTTCCTTCCTTCTGCTGTCACAACGACTGTACAATTAGTACTGCTGTACATGTGTGGGGGCGCCAGACGCTACTCATTAAACCCCAGCACTTGTTGACGTTTGTCCCGCTTGCCGTCTCTACTTCCGGGTGCTGGTCGCTCGGCTTGTGTGTGTTCGGGTGTCGGTACTTCGCGTATAGCAGATAGTGACGCTGATGGCTCTGGAGGTGCTTTCAACTCGCAGCTGGGTGGCGCTTCACTGTATACCGGATGTGTGTGGTCCTCTGAAGCTGGGATTCATTCCCTCCCCAGTGAGAACTCTATAGAGTACGTGTCCTACCTGAAGTGGTATGTCTGTCGTACTGGCCTTACTTGCCATTTAGCTCTATATATGTGATTTTGAAATGTAATGACTTTGTTTTAGGAACTGCCTGAGTAAACCGGGCGCAGAGCACAGCACAACCACCGCTGTCTTTTGACGCTGTCTTACCTGTTATCTATATTCCAAGAATGCAAGTTGTTGCGTTCTGTATTGTAACTGATTGATTTGAATAACAAGTGCAAACTACTCAAAGTACAATATAAGCTAGCCTGGTCGTACCACACCATAGTGCAAATGACATTTCGTACTAAGGTCTGGAGGTGCTCCATTTACAGGTGGGAGGGGTTAACTCCTTTTGCAGATTGAAACGATTGGATCTGAGTTTACCGTGAAGTATGTAGTGCGCCCGAGTCTGTTGTTAGCATTTAGCCAAGCCATCTCCTTTGCCGCTAACGGAACTAACGGAGGACTCGCACGGCAAGAAGGACTCACCGCGGCACTAATGGAGCCCGGGGGGAGTAGCGGCACATTTTTTTCCAGAGATTACATTTGCTAAACATTACTCTTGCTCCGGCTTCAATTTCTTGATAGAACCAGACCGGATTACTTTACTATCGCATTTTTCGCCATTGTCAAACTACAACCTGCCCGTTCAACGCAAACTCACCCACAACTAAATACAGCACCCACCTCCCTCGCTCGCTGATTGGTCGGTCGAAATTCAACCGCTTGTAATCGCAAACATGGGGACCAGACCCAGACGTTACATGCAGGGAAATGATGATTGAGCGGAGTGTACGGATGACTAAGGCCAGGCTAAATATAAGCTAAACTTGATGAATAAAATGTGCTTAAATGGAGCCTTTTGTCCTCACTCAATCCCCTTATCTGTGTCCTTTATAGTTTGTGTTTTGATTATCATTTTTATTTAATCATACTAACGAACCCTCAGTTTGTCACACATGTTATCTGTAAATAGTAAATGCAGCAATTATGTGCAATACACCAATTTTAAAATGCCATTTAGTATGTGCACTGAAGGCCACAACTGGTCTAAATTATATAAGTGTGCTCTTACTAGTGTCCTGTATGAGTGCTGCAACATCAACATTTCTCAACTATGGAACAAATAAAGATTATCTAGTCTTACTGCACTATGTGCTGCCATTACCTGCCCTGTCCAACTCTGTGCTGATCTATGCTGCCCTGTTCTGACCTGGACAGACAGACAAATATTTAGTGTCATCCAGCTTTTGTCCACACTCTCTGTGTAGCTCTATACAGACTCTGATCTGACAATTTCTGAAACCACCTCAGGGGGGGTAGGGTCTGTGTACTGAACATGATAACATCACAGAGACATCACTGCACCCTCTGTGTACTGTATATGATAATGTGGCCAGTGGAGGTGGCTACGAGCTCCTAGAATAATAACAATTAAATAAAAGAAAGAAAGACCAGCAACGCCAGGGCAGAGTGCCCAAAATAACAAAAAAAGCACTCTAAGGCGCACAGGTTCGTAAATCATAATGTGGCATAGGCAGACGTTAAGTGTACTTGGATTTATTAAGTTTTGATGTATAATTCAGTTCGTAGTTCTGGATGTGTATCTTCCTGTCACGACGGACTCAGGATCACAGGCAGACACACAAAAGAAACACGGACCAGGGGCAGAAACAGGAGAAAGCGGGAGAAACACCGGTGGGCCGTGTTGTCAAAAATACCTTTTGACGGACGTGTCTGGGTTGATGCAGAAGTAAGACGAAGATAATCCAAGTTTAACATTTGTATTTAATTTATCTTTACAATCAGATACAGAAATTCAACAAGCTCCTATCCTAACTAATGTCTGCTCCTTTTCCTAAAAATCTAACCCTTTGAGCCGAGCCATTCTAGACTATCCCTCCAGGCCTGAAAATGTGCAGAGAACATGCAGGCGCTCTGCCATGTTCTCTGGCTATCTATCCCTGCTCAGACTGCTCAAAATGTCCTACCCCCAGTTTTATCAACATGTCCGATGACGTCACATGGTCTGAGACTGGTCTCTGGTCTGGTCTCTGGTCTGGATTTTGGTCTTGGTTTTGGTCTTCCATATCAGATTTTAGCAAACAATGCCCCCACCTCTGCGGCGCCTGATTGTGTTGGACTTTGCTCTCGCCAAAAGTGGGAGAGAACATTGTTTATTCTTGGAGTCAATAATTGTCTGGTTTTGTAAGCTGGTCATCTTTATGATTCCTGTACTATCTTGTGTCCTTGGGGTTTTTCCTGAGTGCACATTCTTTTGTCTGATGTGCAGCATTTTGTGAATATTCGTCAGTCGCGATGTGGCCAGTCCCCAGCCTACAAATTAAAGTGGAGTTACTACAAAGCATAACCATGCTGCTTTCAGCCAGTTTCAGACAAAACCTACTTTATGCCACATGCTGAGCGCGCACCCTCAACGGGTGACGAGCTGACCCAAACCCACAGCCGGCTATGACACGTTCGAACACCAGCAACAAGGGCGGCTAGACGCCAGAGCAACAGGACAGCATGGCTGCATATGCAGGACTCGCAGGGCAAGAAGGCCTCACCACGGCACTGAAGCAACATTAATGTTAGTGGCTGAAAATTACAAATATTAGAATTACACTAAAACTCTACTACCTGGAGCAGGAGAAGGGCTGGCACGACCACACACAGGAGACGGAAGTGCAGAGGTAAACAAAGAGGTGACTTGAGGCTATTTATACTGTCAGTGTGCGCCCTCTACTGGACAGAAATATAGTGACCAAGTCCAGCTTGCCACAATAACATAACTGTGACATCACTGCGCCCTTTGTGTACTGTACAGTATAGGATAACCTCACAGTGACAGAGTCCCTCATTTATGAAACTTGTGTACGGACAAATCAGGATGTAAATGAGGCGTACGCACAAAATGTACACTTTTCTGCATTTATCAATCCGTACGCCTGGTACGCACAAAATATACGCCAAGTCAATAGGTGGTGTGTACGCTCATTTCAACCTTCATTACAACACGCCAAAACACGCATTTGGACAAAAATAAACATGTTCCCACTGTGGCAAAATTATAAGCTGCGTTTTCATTGAGCATCATGTTTCTAAATATGAATTTGCGCATCAGAAAAACTCTGGAAACCCTCTTCTGTTTCTTCGTTTTTAAATCTGACTTGTGTGTATTATTTTCATCTGTTTGTTTTTTTTTTTTTAAAGTGAAGCACTTTGTGATTCTGCTCTGTGAAGGCGCTATATACAAATACACCTGGCTTACTTACTTACTTAATGTGTGACCATCTATTTCTCCGTAAATCTGTGGCAGACCCACGCATGGCTATTTGTTTTGTCTCATTCACCTCTGGTAAAGCAACGTATTTCTTCAATAGTTTTGTGACTAAAGCCCCATTAACGCAGCAATGGCAGAGATATGGCAAAGCACTTTTTAGTGGGAAAGGGCTCACGGGCAGTGCGCAGCAGGTGCCACAGAGGTCACACCGCACTCGTCATATGTGGTGCAACGTTTTGGAGTTTCTCTGTGATATCACGGACTCATACGCATCCTTTCTCTCAATTGCATTCACAAGAAGATGTTGCTGACGCTTTACCCAGTTAATGATGAGAGTCACCGCTGAGATATTGATAGTCATTCATTCATTCATTTCTAAAGAGCACTGCAGTGGGTCTAGAAAAAAAACTTGTATATATGATATAGCGGGTTTTTTTTTTGTTCTTTTGACAAAATAATACAATAAAACTCAACATAAACTTCCAACTAGACTTGCTGGCCGGCTTCCATCCTGAGCTGTCGTAAAAACGGGCCGTGAAACAGGCGGTTTCTGAATATTTCTAGGCGTGACTTTCATAAATACGCGAGTTTTCACCGCAGCATTTATCAGCAGCCGCGTATGCGTACGCTCAGATCTGTGCCAATCTCACACGTTCATAAATCCTGCGTTGAGTCTGGCGTAAATGGAACATACACCAAAAATATACACCCTTTTCTGCGCAAGTTTCATAAATGAAGGCCAGTGGGTGGCGCAGTGGCTAGAACTTGTGCATCGCAGCTTCTGGATTCATTTCCACCTCCAGGCGGGTGTGTGGAGTTTGTATATTCTCCCCATCTGTATAGGTTTCCTAGGATTTTGCCTACTGCACATATTCTTAGTGGTAGGGTAAACTGAAGCACCCGGAGAAAACCTACACAGACACAGGGAGAGCATGCAAACTCAGAAAGACCCTGTTCCGACTGGGATATGAACCCAGCCGCTTCTTGCGAGAAGTGACCACTGTGCCACAGTGCCAAACATTATATTTCAATACAAATCAAAATTGTACTCACCGCAATTATGATAAAGTCACTGTCTTGTAAATGTAAATATTATGGAAATAAAATGAGTTTTCTGTGTGTCTGCTTCAGGATGTGGACGTCTGACCACTGTGAGTAACCCTATCACCGTGAAGGCCTCGGGGTCCCGCTTTGGCTCCTGGATGACAGACGCCATGATCCCCAGCTCCGACAGCCGGGTATACACTTTTTATTATACACTATATTCGTGGTACATGGCTTGTAGGGGCCTGTCCTCCCGTGATGGGCCCTCCTTCAGTACCTCATCTCACCACTCATGAGACATTTACTGAGCAGGTCTCCCAATTGGGCGTTCTCCTTGACACACACCCACTCACTCGCTCGCTCGCACGCACGCACACACACACGTCCACAAAAGTCATAAACCACTATTGGCAAGACAGCAGTCCTGGTACAGTGGCAACAAGCTGGAGCTGAACGGCCTGGAGACAGTCATGGAGATGAGATGGAGATTGTGGACTTCAGAGAGACCATAGGCATTTTAAGCCTGGCCTTGATTTGATCTTAACACTGGAGATGCATGTTCCTTTTAGTGTATGTTAAATGCGGATTCAAAGATTTCAAATATGGTATTGTCCTGAAGGTGGTGGCATAGTTGCTTAGATATAGGTTTTGAAGAATTTTAAATATTAAAGGAAGATTTGAGGAGGAACCACCAGAATGTTGGCGTTTTGAGAGTGAATGCTCCGTTTGGTTGATATACTAATGTATTTTGGATCACATCACATCACATTATAAGGGTGACATGGGAGGACATAGATGAGTTTTCTGCTACACTTTTAGGAAGGATATTTATTTAAAATAAGCAGTTTTAGTTAATTGGTTTTGATGTGCTCTGAAGGAGAGTTCTTGGTCAATAATTATTAGAAGATTTTTACCGTGTTGCTAGAGTCAACTCAAACATTATTGTGTGTGATTTTCTGATCAGCGAGGGAATCACGCAGAATTCCTTTTTACCGGGTTGAAGAGCAGGTAGGTTTTGGGTCATTAATGCAGGCAATAAACCTTTCTATTTGATCTGTGGAATTTTATTTGTGATTACCAGTGTGTCATATATGTAGCAAGTTAATGTCATGTTTTCTAATGATGTTACCTAATGGCAGCATATAAAAAATGTACAATATGATACCGATCCGATAAATGGTAAACTAAACCAGCCAAGTGCTGTTCCTCTGAGACATGTCACATTCTAGCCTCAGTTGTAGAATGTGGTCGATTGTGTTAAATGCAGGGCTGAGGTCCAGCAGAACCAACAGTGACACTATTCCTTTATCAGCAGCAAGCATTAAGCCTTTTTTCAACATTATTATCCTGTAAAATATTTATCTTTACACTTTTCAAGGATTTTAAATTCCATCCATCCATCCATTTTCTTCCCTTAATTAATTAATTTCTGGGTCGGGGGGGTGGCAGTCAGAGCTGCACCCAGTACACAGAGCACCAGCCCCTCACCGATCCTCCTGCAGGTGGAAAGTCAACAGGAGCTGAGATCTTTCAGCAGGGGCTTCGGGCAAAGTGTGGTTAGGTGTCTTGCCCAAGGACACAACGACAGCAGTCATCAGTGGGAGTCGTGAAGTAGGTATTATGGTGGGCTCGAACCCACGACCTTCAGGCTCAAAGGCCAATGCTCTACCAACTGAGCCACTGTCGCCCACTTTTTAAATTGATTTTAAATTGAATAGGTTAATTTTTAGTGTTTTAAAGGCTGGTGTTTGTTATTAGTATTTAAGACACTCTCCCCTTAAGAATAGAGCCTGTCTTCGAATAGCCCAGTTGGAATTGGGTCTGTGCTTGGCTCACAGGCATGAACTCATCCAGGCCCACAGGTGGGTCTAAGTGGAACATAAAAGTGATAGTCTGGAACTCCAAATAAAAAAAAATGTTAAGAATTGCATTAAATTGACCACCTGACCTTAAATGTTGATATCAAATAAGTCATTTTATGACGATCCACGATGCCGTCCACTTTAACTTTAACTAATCAAGTGATGCCAAGGGCTGTCAATCATGGCACTTGTGCTCGCATATAATTTAAACACACACACACCTTTCATCCTCCGCGGGCAGTTATCCTTCTCTAAGCTCGGGTCCTCTACCAGAGGCCTGGGAGCTTGAGGGTTCTGCGCAGTATCTCTGCTTTTCCTAGCACCGCACATTCTGGAGATTTCAGAATCAGAATCAGGATGGTTCTAGTCCTGATGGACCGCAGTCTCCTGCCTGAGGGGAGTGGTTGGAATAGTCCATGTGCAGGGTGAGAGGGGTCGGCTGTGATACGACCAGCCCGGCCTCGAGCTCGGGCGACGTACAGGTTCTGCAGCGATGGAAGGCTGCGGCCGATCACCTCCTGTGCAGAGCGCACAATGCGCTGTAGTCTCTATTTGTCCCTGACTGTGGCTCCAGCGAACCACACGGTGATGGAGGAGGTGAGGAAGGACTCGATGATGGCCGTGTAGAACTGCACCAACATCTGTGCATGCAGCTTGGCTTTCCTGAGCTGCCGCAGGAAGTACATCCTCTGCTGGGCCTTCTTGTATGAGGGAGCTGATGGTCGGCTCCCACTTGAGGTCCTGGGTGATGGTGGTGGCCAGGAAACGGAAGGACTCCACAGAGGTGATGGGGGAGTCCATCATGGAGGGTGGGGGCGGGGGGACAGTGCTCTTCCTGAAGTCCACAATCATCTCCACTGTCTTCTGGGCATTCAGCTCCAGGTTGTTACCACTGCACCAGGACACCAGCCGGTCCACCTCTCTCCTGTAGGCGGACTCATCGTTGTTGGAGATGAGTTCAATGAGGGTGGTGTCATCCGCGAACTTGATCAGCTTCACGGAGTCGTGGCTGGAGGTGCAGTGGTTGGTGTACAGGGAGAAGTGCAGGGGAGAAAGAACACAGCCCTCTTGAGCTCCTGTATTTATAATCCGAGAGTCCGAGACATTCTTCCCCAGACGCACTCGCTGCTTCCTGTCTGTCAGGAAGTCAGTGATCCACCTGCAGGTGGAATCGGGCACGTTGAGCTGGGAGAGCTTGTCCTGGAGCAGGGATGGCAGGATCATGTTGAAGGCAGAGCTGAAGTCCACGAGCAGGACCCTGGCATAGGTCCCCGGGGAGTCCAGGTGCTGTAAGATGTGGTGGAGGGCCAGGTTAATGGCGTCGTCTACAGATCTGTTGGCTCTGTAGGCAAACTGCAGGGGGTCCAGGAGGGGGAGGTGAAGGACTTGAGATGGGAGAGGACCAGGCGTTCTGAAATGACTTCATGACAACAGACGTAAGTGCTACAGGTCTGTAGTCATTGAGTCCTGTGATCCTGGGCTTCTTCGGGACGGGGACAATGATGGAGGATTTGAAGCAGGCCGGGACATGGCAGGACTGCAGAGAGGAGTTGAAAATGTCAGTGAACACAGGAGTAAGCTCACTGGCGCAGTGTCTCAGAGTGGCCCGAGACACGTGGTCCAGGCCAGGAGCTTTGCGGGGGTGCAGCCTCAGGTTGAGTTGTTTAATATCTTTAGAGGCTATTGTCAGGGTGGGGGCATGGCTGATGGGTGGGTCGTTAGAGTAGTGGGGGGTGAGGGAGGTGTCAGGGGCAGCATCAAAGCGACTGAAAAAAAAGTTCAGGTCGTCAGCTAGCTTGTGGTCGTCAGCACAGGGGGGGGGGCTTTGGACTTGTAGTTGCTGATCTCCCGTAGGCCCCCCCAGACAGAAGCAGTATCGTTGTTACCAAACTGCTCCTGTAGTCGTTCTCTGTGCCGGGACTTGGCTGCTTTCAGTTCGTCCCTGAACCGATATTTAGCTGCTTTGTAGCCTCTGCGGTCCCCCTCCCTGAATGCAGACTCCTTTGCTTTCCTGAGCTGCCGGAGTTTAACAGTGAACCAGGGTTTGTCGTTGTTATAGATGACCCTGGTCCTTGGAATTTGGTTCTTGGTTGGAATAATGCTATCCTCGCAGAAGTGAATGTATGACGTCACAGTGTCCGTGTAATCATCCAAACTGTCTGTGGCAGCTCTGAAAAGGTCCCAGTCTGTAGATTCCATGCATGCGTGCAGCTCTTCTACAGCTTAATCAGACCACACTTTGGTCTTCCGAGGTTGTTCCAGGGATCCGCTGTGACCACTCCTCCAGCTTTGGGGTCACTGCCCCGAGTGCACCGATCACCATGGGCACTACTGTCACCTTTACCCTCCAGGCCCTCTCCAGCTCTTCTCTGAGCCCTTGGCCTGTCTCAAGCTTTTTGTGTTCTTTTTTCCTGATGTTATCATCACTTGGAATTGTTACGTCCACCACCACGGCTTTCTTCTGCCCTTTGTCTACCACCACAATGTCAGGTTGGTTCGCCATTACCATTCGGTCGGTCTGTATCTGGAAGTCCCACAGGATCTTCGCACGCTCATTCTCCACCACCTTTAGAGGAGTTTCCCACTTAGACCTTGGGGTTTCCAGCCCATACTCTGCACAGATGTTTCTGTAGACTATGCCAGCCACTTGGTTATGGCGTTCCATGTAGGCCTTCCCTGCCAGCATCTTGCACCCTGCAGTTATGTGTTGGATCGTCTCAGGTGCCTCTTTGCACAACCAACACGTTGGGCCTCTGTCTCTCAGGCTCAGGGCCTGCTCCTGTGCAGCCATGATGAGTGTCTCAGTGCTGTCCTGTAGACCAGCCCTTTCTAGCCATTGGTAGGACTTCTTGAGATCAGCCACTTCTGCTATGCTCCAGTGGTACATGCCGTGTAGGGGCTTGTCGTCCCATGATGGGCTCTCCTCCAGCACCTCCTCATCTTGCCACTGTCTGAGACATTCACTGACTACGTCATCCGTTTTGGCCTTCTCCATGATGTAGTTATGGAGTTTGGATGTTTTGTCCTGGACAGTGGCTTTCACACTCACTAGTCCTCTGCCTCCTTCTTTACAGCTTACGTACAGTCTCAGGGTGCTGGATTTGGGATGGAACCCACCATGCATGGTTGCTCTTATAGCCAAGCATCTCTCGTATCACTACTGCCGAAGTGTATATCAGCTCATTGGTTTCAGTGATTGTGGTGGTAGGTATCGCCCTCACTGCTGCATTCACGCTTTCTATGAGATCCTTAGGTGGTACTTCACACAACTGCTGTAACCGGTGTCTATGCTCTGTGCCCATTTTTGCCA